TTTTTACATGTATATCATACAGAACATCCCACACAATCTTATTCATCTATATACCCACTTCCCAAATGGCACCCTCCCATAGCTTCCCCACCCCCTACACTGGAGCCCATATACTCTGTCATTCCTGTTACTGTCCACTGTGTTGTCTGCATATAGACCTTCCTCTAGTTAGAATAACATCCCTTAAAGCTAAATGAATGCTTTTGTTTCAACCAAATTAAACCCATAGGGAATCTTGCTCAGATATCCCTTCCTCCCTCTGGAGCAACAGAGCATGAACAGGAATAAGATCACAGAACCACACTAATGCTCACTTAGTTGAACACACTTTGGTCTCCTCCAGATTAAAACTGAAGTCGCACAGTTGAGTAGGTTTGGGTAAGTTTTTTTAATAGTAAAAGATGAAGCCCTGTAATCTAAGAAGTCTCAGCATCTATGGGATGCTGCCTTCTTCCATTCATCCATCTGTGAGGTCAGACAACTGACCACTGTCCTATGTGAAATCTCACCTAATTCGTTCATCTAACTGATGGTCGTTGCCTTCAGTCCAAGGCCCTTATCCCTCTACAAACGGAAGCCCACCCAGAAACCAAGCAGAGGGTCCTGACCAACTACATGTTTCCCCAGCAGCCCCGTGGTGATGAAGGTAGGTTGCCATCGGATGTATTTCTTTAAAGTTTTTGATGTTTGTGGATAAAATGGATTATTTTTATTCTAATCTCTGTCCAAGAGTACTGGTTCACAGACACAAAAGAAAAGTCCATAAGACTCATCATCTGAGGGCTTAAGTATGAGCTTCTGTGCTATAATATTTTAAGTAAAGCCGGGCGTGGAGGTGCACACCTTTAATTCCAGCACTCGGGAGGCAAAGGCAGGCAGATCTCTGTGAGTTTGAGGCCAGCCTGGTCTATGTAGTGAGTTCCAGGACAGCTGGGGCTACAGGGAGACTCTGTCTCAAAAAGACAAATTATATATATAGATAGATATATATGAAGATTCCAAAAACAGGCCCCCCCTTAGGACTGAAGGGAAGGCTTAGTTAGCGAAGTGCTCACCATAGAAGCATGAGAACTCAAGTTCAATCCCCAGCACCCACATAAAAATGCCAGCACAGTGGCACATACCTGTAACCCCAACACTGGGGGCCAGCCTACTGAATTCCATGAGCCCCAGGTCTCAGAGAGGAACCTTGTCTCAAAACCTAAGATAGATGGGGTTGAAGAAATGGGTCAGTGGTTAATTGCACTGACTGCTCTTGCAGAAGACCTGGGTTCAGTTCCCAGCACCCACATGGCAGCTAACAACCGTCTGTAACTCCTGTTCTGGGGGAGTCTTCACCCTCTTCTGGCCTCTGCAGGCATTGCACAACCCAGGTGCACTTCCACACGGAAGATGTACTCATACATAAAAGATAATAAAATATTTTTTAAAAGATAGAGATTGGTTGAGGAAGATACCCAATGTTGGTCTCTGGCTGCTACATGCATATGCACATATGTGCTTGTGTGTATGCACACATATGCACCCAAACACACATGAACATACACAAGTACATACACCTAAAGAAAAAGAAAAAGTTTTCCTTTTTATGTCTTATGTGAAAATAATATAAAAATTTCAGCGTGATTTCACTTAGAGACTGCAAGGCACAGACCTTGTCCACCAAATGCCCTGGGGGAGTTCAGAGCCCAAGGAAGCCTCACTGGGAAGGGTCATGTCCTGCGTTCTCATTTTACCAAGCAGTTTGAGTCCAAGTGCAGTGACCTCGGACCCCTGCAGTTAGCAGGAGAAGGACTTACAGTAATAACTGCTTTTTCTTTGACAAGTTGAGAGTCTCTAAACGTAACAATTATGATCAAAAACAGCACTCTAAAAAACCTAAACCTGTTACAGTAATTAAGTCGTCTGTCCTATGGTCACGTTATTTATACAAATCTTAAAAGAGGCTGACATGTTCTCTGTGGTCATTGCAGACTGATTATTAGAGCAGTGAACCCCACTTTAATACAGCCACAGATAAGCCCATCCTGTCTGAGTCCATTTGTGAAATGAACCATTTGCTTATGTATTTCTCCATAATAATAAATGGCTTTAGTCTTTGACTTCAAGTGAATCTCTTCAAGATATTTGAGGATATTTTTATCAAATTTCGACTTACAGAAGTATAAAAAGGAAAGATTATTGTGAAATATAATTTTCTCACCTTAATAAAATTGATCTTTTGAATCTATGAAAGGTTAGTATGTTTATATAGCACCTACAAAAACTATCGAGTAAGGACTGGCTTCTAGTCACATAATTTTATTCACATTTTCATTTTAATATCCCTATATTTCAAAGTGTTTCATTTTAAAAGGATATAAGGAGAAGCTAACAGTAAGTCACTTCTGAGATCCAGTCTGTGAGCTGAATCCCTGATTGGCTCTGGGGTGTGAGGTGGACAGTCGGGTGACTTGTGACATCAAGCTGTTGCCTTTCCCTGCTTGGATTTTTGGTTTGTTTGTTTTTCTGTTGAGGATAGAAAGTTTGCTAGAATAATTGAAATTTTTTTTTGTATTTCGGTCCTGACAAGTTCTGGTCTGACAGGCATCAAAATAATAAATGAATTTTCAGAATCCCATAAAATAAAGAGATACATTATAAAGAACAATTCTTTGGAAAATATTTCACCTCAACTAAATTCTTTTACTGAGTTTTCATGTGACTTTTGCTATTATATTGCAAAGAAGATTTTACCATTAGCCAACATTTTGACGTAAATTACAGATGTATCGATTGCTTTCCTTGCTTATTTGAGACACATTTAAACAAATTGGAAACTTAGTGTTAAAACTAAATTCCCATGTGTTCTCTACCATAAAATTGAGCTTCCTTCATCACACACACACTCCTAGTATCTACACTAAAGAACCAACGAAAAAGTCAAAATCCTGGGTACTTTATTGAAAATTCACAGTCATGTGGTATCTTGGTTTGGTTTTTTTATTGTTTTGTTATTGTTTTGGCTTTTTTCTTTTTGATGCAACACGAGCTCAGCAGTCACCCAGACATGAAATAGAACCCTACACTAGTGATCAGAAGCTGTGAGACTTAGAGTGGGATCTGAAAGCACACCCAGCTTCCTCGTCAGTAAAATAAGGATCAGTGAGACCCTTACACCGCCAGTGCAAGAGACTGACAGTGCATTGCCCAGCGCTCCTAGACATTACTGCTACTGCCTGGAGGCTGTCCCCAAGTAACTCCTGACAGTCATGTGAATATGTTCAAGACCAGGGAAGAAAACTCTAGAGACATGTTACTTTTTCTGCCCCTCCTGTTTCTCTCTGCTTCCTTCTTTCTCGTTCTTTCCCCAGTCCTTTTTTTAACTTTTAAAAAAACTTTACTGAGAATTTCATACATGCATGTAAGGTGTTTTGATCAAATCCACACCCACTCCCTCCCCTCAACTCCTCCCATATCTCCCCATCACTTTTTCCTGACAACTTCGTGTACCCTTCCTCCTTCCTCCTCCTCCTCCTTCCTTCCTCCTTCCCTCCTCCTTCCCTCCTTCCTCCTCCTCCTTCCTTCCTCCTTCCCTCCTTCCTTCCCCTTCCTTCCTTCCTCCTCCTTCCTTCCTCCTTCCTCCTCCTCCTCCTTCCTTCTTCCTTCCCTCCTTCCCTCCTTCCTTCCTCCTTCCACCTTCCTCCTTCCCTCCTTCCTTCCTTCCTTCCTTCCTTCCTCCTCCTTCCTTCCTTCCCTCCTTCCCTCCTTCCCTCCTTCCTTCCTTCCTTCCTTCCTTTCTTTTATAGGGCTTTATGTTGCCAACAGGCCCAAGGACACTTTGACTTTTAGCCAAGAAACTGGCTACTTTTCTTTGGGGTCTTTCTACCCTAACTGCCTAGCCAATTCCTACCTGGTATTCTTACCACACCATCCTCTGAAGAGGTTACCCAAATTGCTGATGGGAAATCGGGTCGCAGACCTCTGGCTTCTTCCATGCTGAACAGGGGGTGAGGCAATTGAAGTACCCCTTCAGTGGGTCTATCTAAAAGATTCCCAAATTGTATAACTCTTTCTTTTTTCTTTTTTCTTTTATCGTTTGTTTTTCTTTTTTTTGTCTTTTTGAGGCAGGGTCTCCCTGTAGCTGCAGCTGGCCTGGATTCTCTATGGAGATGAGGCTGGCCTCAAACTCACAGAGATCTACCTGCCTCTGCCTCTGCCTCCCAAGTGCTGAGATTAACGGTGTGCGCCACTACGCCCGGCTATCCACATTGCATAATTAATTAACTACAGGGAGAAAAGAAATGTTATTGTACTTACTGTTGCATAATATATTAATATATTACTTGCATAATGTATTAAACTCTATTGATAACATTCTGTGTATAAAAGAAAGCAAAGCGCTTCTACTTTGGGCTCCGTAGATTTCCAGTCCGACAGCGACAGCTTCAACCCCACCCTGTGGGAAGAACAGAGACAACAGCGGATGACTGTTGCTTTTGAATTTGAGGAAAAAAAAGAGGATGACGAAAGTGCTGGGAAAGTTAAGGTGAACCTTTCAGTCTTTATTTCTCTGTCCGTGTCTGTCCGTTATTATCCACATAGGTTCAGGATACATTTGACCTCTCGTGGAGGTCAGATTCATCATCTTGTCTCATAAAGGTACCCAATTCAGTGGTCCCGTGTCTTGGGAAGTGTTGGTGTGATTTGGAGTGAGACAGTTGCCCCAGTTCTGACTGAGCAAGTTTGATACACACCTAACCCCCAGTTCCCACAGGATAGCAACATGAGAGCGATTCAAGTTGGGAAGAAATCTAGGTGATACAGCTTACCGAGGATTCTGCTTCGTCTGTGACGCTGCAATAATTCCTTTAATAACCGAGCCTCGTGCAGACAGGGCCGACCACTGTGCGCACTGTGGAAGGGCAGGCTGATTACCATGTTACAATGACGTTAGATCCCTGAAGGGTTCTATGTCACTCAGGCTTTTGAGAAGAGCTTACGTTTCTTTAACTGTGAGAACAGGTTTTGAAAAAAAAGGAGGTAAGTGTACAGCCACAGTGAAGATCTTGGGGGGAAAAATGCTGCTTTTTTAACCGTATTTTAAAAGAAATTTTATGAGACTTACCTGAATAAGGAAACAAGATTAAATTTTAAATCAGAATTGGGTTCGGTTTCATCAAGTGCTTCATTTTCCCATGCCACGGCGGCATCGTGAATCTCTCATTAATTTTCTTATATTATTTGTGCATTTTTTAAAAAACATCATGAATACTAACAGCTTTCCCCTGTAGTGACTGATGATCTAAGCATCAATGTATGCATCTTATTAATACATTGAGATGGTGTGCTACGTTCTCTGTCCTTACCATCCCATGTTTTCTAAATATTACTTCTTAAGTCATTAAGGAAAACCAAAAATGGACTCATAAGCCATAACATGTTTTATTAAAACTGGGGTTTAAGAAGCATTCTGGATGACTAGTCATTGCTTTCTAACAACCAAAGAAACATGTTCTAATTTTTTTTTTAATTTTTGGAAAAAATATGCGAAACTATCCAGTTTCGCAAACCTTTGGAACAATTCTGTTCCTTTTTTAACAATTTTATGTCTGGAGTCATGAGTCAATGGGTGATGCATTCTCTGTTGGACTCTTAATTCATTTTTATATTTCATGGAATTGTCAAAAATGATGTGCTCCCTCCTGAAAAATCTCAAAGATCCAAGGAAAAGAACACATTTAATGTTCTCCAGTGGCTGTGTTGATAAAAACATGAAATATAGAGAAGGAAACAGTTATTTAGAAGCCCTGTTTGTGTGCTGTGTGGTTAGTGTTTTATGCTCACAGGAGGTCCGTATGCTGTACATCAGTGTGTTTATGCTTGTGGGAGGTTCATAAGCAGCTTTTTTTCCCTCAGCGTTTATTCATATTTACTTTATATTTTGGTAAAACCATTTGTTTTTCCAAAATCTCAAACTACTTGGCTTTGACTAATTTGGTTATTTCCGATGCCATTGGCTATTGGACAAATTAGAGCACAAACACTTCTAAATAATGTGAGCAAGGGTGAGGGCTGGAGTTCTCCGGACCCTTACAGTGGATCACACTCTTCATCACATGTACATCAAATTTAGCACCATCTTGCCTTGAGTTTTCCTGAAATTTAAAAAGGGCCACAGGCCTGTGCCATCAGCTTTCCGTGGGACGAGACTATAAAGCCCTCCTTGCAGTGTGTGCCTACCAATGCCACACTGTGTGCCAAGGTCCCCGCCCGTGGCTTCCTACAGTGTTGATACTGTGTGTTCCATGGATGTAAACCCCTTCATTTTAAGCCCATTGCCCAGAACGGAGGAAAATATCAGAGTAAAGTGATGATAAAGTGAACGTGTCGCTGTAGCACTCCTGTTTCTCCCAGAAAATGGAGACTCCTTCTCCCACAGGCTCTCTCCTGCCAAGCCCCCTGGGACAGGGGCCAGCGTGGGATCACTCTCCAACCTGCCAGGCTGTCTGGCGATTGCTGCACACCATGGGCCAGGTGTGATCAGCAGATCCAAGATATGCCCGTCCCCCAGAGTGACCCCCAGCTGGCATGGGGTTGTATAAGTGGCCTCCAGCAGGACAGGAGCATGGGTGCTCCCTTGCCCGCGGCAGCACAGTCCACCACTCTCCCCTCTCTAAGTGGCAGACAGGTAGGCCTAGGCGGCTGGGGTAGGAGAAGCCCCAGTGGAGGCTCCCCTGGAACAGTGCTTTACGGGGTATGTGCTGCATGACTCGGGTGAGAGCTGTTGGTCACACAGCGGCCTCCGGATTGCCAGCGTCTGGACCCAGTTTAACGTTTTGATGTTTGACACTGGCAAGGAGCCGGGAGGCCTGAGTCAGAGGGAGGGGACATCAACGTGAGGTGCCTTTCGGTGGGGTATCTGGCATGGCTTTTGAGGTGGGGCTACCAACAGCTGGGAAGAATTAGCATTGTCCACCCCTGTGCCCTGCATGCTGCTCAGCTCTCGGGGAGACCAGCTAAAACCTGACTCTCAAATAGCACAAGCTAAAATCGAGATTTGCTGGGAGTGGATTCTGAACAGAGATTTCTGTTCAAAAGCAGCAATTTCCCTTAATTTGAAGACATAAATGATATGAATTCCTATAAGAATTCCCGTAAGAGAAGATGGGGTTGGGGTTCAGCAACTAGAACACCTTTCTTTAGGTCTGGGTATTAAAGAAGATAACTGATTCATAGAAGGAAAAATATGCCTTCGAGAAACACAAAAGAACACTGTTTTATAAACTCTGCCTCCACATGTAATGGACTAGACTCTATGTCTTATATTCGCCTCACAATATAAGACAAGCTGAGAAAGCACCCTTCTAACTAAGCTTGCTGTTTCCTTTCCATGTAAAACATCCCCACTAATCCCTAGAATAAGATGATGTGTAATAATCACTTCAAACACTCTTATTTCTCTTACTGGAATTTGCAATCAAATTAGAATTTACTGACGGTGTGAAGCATATTATATTATGAGTATAATATAATATACAAGAAACCACTCCGAGTCCAAGATACCATTTCTGAATGCCCACCCAACTATTACAAGTAATTCTTCCTTCTATCCTGAATTGTCAGGGTCTCCAGCACCTCGCAGCTGCTATTGGCTATTGCTGCACTTTATTTAGAGGCAGAATCCTATGAAGCACTTTCTCTCCCAAAATTAGAAAATTTTATTTTAGAAGTCTTGCATTCTAATAAAATGTATATGTGACATAAGCAAATACTTTATAGTGAGTGATAAATGTGACATTTTCTCAACATGTGATTCACATGCCTGCCCATCTGTGTATAAGAAAATAATTTATTTTTTATGCCATATGAGATTAGTGGGGATTTCCAGTCCACAATTTAGAAATAAAGGAACTGCTTTTAGATTTGAATGTCATGGAGCTGTTAATACAACTATATGATCATGTCAGTTTCCTCGAGTTAAAAAGTAAGAGAGTAGGAAAGGGCATAAATAAATCTTGTACAGAGCTTAAAATAGAACTCAATTATAAAATAGTATAGTTTCACTTTAAAAGAAGTTATGAAATGTTATTACTTAGCTTTGTTTCTTAAAATTGTAGTATCTTCTTATTTAACAGCAAACTTCACACTTTAGATATGTAGCAATTTTTCCCACAAGGTGACACAAGTCACCCTCATCTACATAGCGAGTTCCAGGCCACCTGGAGCTACAAGGAGGCCCTGTCTCAAAAAAACAAAAAAGTAATTAATAATATCAAGCTGGGTGTAGTGATACACACCTATCAGCCCAGTAATCGGGAGGCTGAGGCAGGAGGATTGTAAACTCAAGGCCAGTCTGGCTACAAACTGGATAAACTTATAAATTTTCAAAGTACATTCACATTTATGTCATTGTAGCTCTAAATAAACCCAAGTGCAGGGGAAGGGTATTAGCAATTCCATTGTCCATGAGTGGAAACAAATCTATAGATTAGAGGCTGTTGGCTACTTGGTTTTAGAGTTCAGCTTGAATTTACACTTCCTGACACCAAGTCCAATGACTTCTGTGAGAAGACCAGTAAATGGAGGAAGAAGGTTATTTTCCAGCTGAAAAAAAACTCCAAGTTTAATGAGACTTGAAGATTCCCAAACTGCGAGAAAAGCTACTTTAAGAAAAAACATGAAAAATAATCCATATAAATACATAAATAAATAGACCCCTCGCAAAGTTTTGAAAGTGGTAGGCCCCATAATTCAAGCTTCATGGTAAATTTGTTTCTGTATTTAAATATTTTCATAGAAATAAAATACTCATATTCTGATGATGTGACCAAAATACCAAATTAAGTTTCAAAAAAATAACCATAAAGTATTAACACCGTAGCCATGAAAAAACAGGCATCCAGATGTGTGGGATGGGCGGATGCACATCTACCCAGCAGGGCATCTAATTCGATAAGGAAGAACACAGTACAGCAGAGTCCTCTTTTGATTCAACTCCTAAGAGCAGTGTTACTGCTGAGTTCATTTGACTTGCATGGAATTACAATTTAATGCCCTACTTGAGATTATTTTTCACTTATATGCCACTGATGTTTAAAAACTGAGCAATGTTCTTAACAGGCACGAACTTCACAGTTCATGAAATGTAGTTTTTACAACTTTTAGTTCATTGATATAAGTGCTTTTAAACAAGTTCAATAATATAGCTTACAAATAGATGTAATTCGTAGCTAACATTTCTTATATGAATTTAAAGAGCAGGTCCACACACACATGCATTCCAGGCATTTCCTGTACCATGAACATTGTTTTGTGTTTACTGCAGAATACACTATAGATTAACCCCTGGGATATGACTATTAAACTATAACAACTCATTTTCTCTGTGAAGTATAATTTAGTCTGGTTATTAAAGCTTTATTTCTATTTATCTTTAGTTTTATTCTTATTTATTTGAAAACATAAATAAAATTATACTTATCCTAGTTAAAGAAAAACTGAATTTTTCACTTGCTTTCCAAATATATATTAGAAATAATTTTATATAGATAATATTCAGAGGAATATTGCTATCATCCTAGTGATGTCCAGTCCTGGCATCTAACTAGGAAAGTGAGCCACAGTGAATCCTAAGAACAGCAACACCATTGGTGGATTTGCTAAAATAGCAGATTAGCAAAAGTGTTTGGGTTCTTGTTCATAATCTCTACCATGTCATGGTTTCCTACATGCCACGGCCTACATGGTTCCCCCTTCTGCTGTCTTCCACTTCCTCCTTCACTTCTCCACCCTCCTCTTCTCCCACCCCTAACCCTCACACACATACGTACTCACCACAATCGCATAAACCATTCCATTTAAAAAGTTGATTCTACTCAGATTCAAAGAAACTTGGTTGTTGGTACAAGTCAAGCCAGGTAAATATGTATCTTGCTTTTTTTTCCACGCCCCCTTCAGCCAGCATAAGTGACTTGTATTGATTCTCTTTTAAATACATTTTAATAAGTACTCTCATGATGGAATAGTCTATGTGAAAGAAACTCAGTACTAAAAAGAGTCCTTCTTATGTGTTCCTGAAAGTCAGTCTGATATCCCCAAACTAATTTAAAGCTAGAAATAAACATCTGGATAAATATAAGTCAAAATGAATACATTTACCTAAAATATGTTAGGAAACAGTGAAATTTTTTATTTCTCTTCATATCAGATATTACTCAAGAATCATATGACTTTATCAGGCTAAAAAGTAAATTTAAAAGCCAACGCTGAAGTATTTTTCTCAAGTATTAACAAGAAAAAGCTGCCCTACCTCCTGACAGAGCATGTTACTTGTCAGTTTGGGCTAATGCCTATTTGGCTTTTTCAAGGATAACTCTATTTGTAAATCTTGTGGGGTCTACTCCCAATACCTGCATTGAACTGCAAAGACCATTTACTATGAAAATATTACAAAGATGAAGGTAGGTGAGAAAACAGTCTCTAAGATACAACACAGCCGATAATAAGTTGATTCAATTTTTCAAACTTTAGCAGTTACCTAAGAGTTTTGCTTACTGCTATTTCATCCAGCTACAGATAGAATCCAATCCCCAAACTGCTGATAGTGCACATCATAGGAAGGGGTTGGGGCCGGCCCCGTGCCCTCCTTCGACAGCTCCTGGGCAGCTCAACACTCACTGTATTGCATTTGTTTTTGCTACTGCTTGTGCAGTGGGGAGTTTGGTGAACATGCTTGCTCATCATTTTTTTGTTGTTGTTAAATTTCTTTTTATAAACTTCTAGGTTGAAATAAACCTAAAACGATATCCAACTCCTTACCCAGAGGATTTAAAGAATATGGTAAAATCTGTTCAAAATCTGGTGGGTAAGCCAAGCCACGGAGTGCGTGTTGAGAACTCAAATGCAACAGCTAACACGGAGCAAACTGTGAAAGAAAAATTTGAACACAAGTGGCCGGTGGCCCCAAAGGAGATTGCAGTGGAGGTATTTGAAGCTTATTGGTAACTGCCAGTGTGGTTTGATGTTCAGACTTCTGGATGCTGATGCTTCTTCTGACCAAATAGATCCCTTTGATAAGTACAATGATGCATTTTTTCTAAAATAAAAAATGACCCACTTTTTTGAGTTATGAGGGTTGACTCTAGTAAATCAGACACGAGTGGCCCCCTCATAGCCAAAATCATTACTACAACTCCAGCACACACAGTGGCTCCTCACCAAACTAGGCTAGCCAGGATTGCATTGTACCGATGATGTTATTTTGACTACCTCAAACTTTATCATATCATTTGCCAGGAAAAACTAATGTAATATTTTTCATTCTGACAGTTGCAGTAAAATTCCCCCTAAAGTTCAGAGCAATTTTTTTTAATTCTTTTTTGTGTTTGAGTTGCAGCCTTTATTAAAAACACAAACAATAGCTTCAGGAAGTGGAAAACCTAAAACTAGGGCTTATGTGATCTGGCCATTAGAAGCTTAATTCCAGCATCTGGGAATAAGCTGGAAATTTGCCTTTATCGATTTGCCTTGTTGGTCTGAAAAGAATCCAACTACACTGCACCTCCTCTCTGTGTCATCACTCCTCAGTTAGTTCAGTCACCATCTTTTGCCTTCACTAGAAATGTAGTTGGACTGAGCATTTCTGGTACATATCACTCCTCTAAAATCTGATTGACAAAACCCTTTTACAAATCTGCATTTCAAATGAACAATTTGTGGTATTTAAACTCCAATTGTATGTGTAGCACTGTGCTAAACACTGTGAGAGGAAGAAAGTCAATGTGAATGTGTCCCAAGCGATCCCAGGTTCCCGAGTGGTCAAAGCCAAGCTAGACCTAGTATCACATGGGAAGTGATCACATGATTCTTGCTCTGGGTTGGAGCTTAAACATATTAAAGATGGGGTGAGTCTTTCAAAGTAGAAATCACAGGGAGGACATTCTACACAGGGGGGACCTCAAGTCAAAACAGGGATAGAGACTTGGGAGCCCAGATAGGAGGATGACCCAAAGTTTAAAGTCAGTTTGGGTTACAGAGTGAGACCATGACTTAAAAACAAAGCAAAACAAAATGGTTACAGTGTGAAGCCTCCCTGGAAGAGGGGTACAAGTTCCTGTGTGTTGTAGGGGTACACCCGCACCTAAGGAAGAAAGTTCCTGTGTGTGAGAGGGTACACCCACACCTAAGGAAGAAAGTTCCTGTGTGTGAGAGGGTACACCCACACCTGAGGAAGAAAGTTCCTGTGTGTGAGAGGGTACACCCACACCTGAGGAAGAAAGTTCCTGTGTGTGAGAGGGTACACCCACACCTGAGGAAGAAAGTTCCTGTGTGTGAGAGGGTACACCCACACCTGAGGAAGAAAGTTCCTGTGTGTGAGAGGGTACACCCACACCTGAGGAAGAAAGTTCCTGTGTGTGAGAGGGTACACCCACACCTGAGGAAGAAAGTTCCTGTGTGTGAGAGGGTACACCCACACCTAAGGAAGAAAGTTCATGTGTGTGAGAGGTACACCCACACCTAAGGAAGAAAGTTCATGTGTGTGAGAGGGGTACACCCACACCTAAGGAAGAAAGTTCCTGTGTGTGAGAGGGGTACACCCACACCTAAGGAAGAAAGTTCCTGTGTGTGAGAGGGTACACCCACACCTGAGGAAGAAAGTTCCTGTGTGTGAGAGGGTACACCCACACCTGAGGAAGAAAGTTCCTGTGTGTGAGAGGGTACACCCACACCTGAGGAAGAAAGTTCCTGTGTGTGAGAGGGTACACCCACACCTGAGGAAGAAAGTTCCTGTGTGTGAGAGGGTACACCCACACCTGAGGAAGAAAGTTCCTGTGTGTGAGAGGGTACACCCACACCTAAGGAAGAAAGTTCCTGTGTGTGAGAGGGTACACCCACACCTAAGTAAGAAAGTTCCTGTGTGTGAGAGGGGTACACCCACACCTAAGGAAGAAAGTTCATGTGTGTTAGAGGGTACACCCGCACCTAAGTAAGAAAGTTCCTGTGTGTGAGAGGGTACACCCACACCTGAGGAAGAAAGTTCCTGTGTGTGAGAGGGTACACCCACACCTGAGGAAGAAAGTTCCTGTGTGTGAGAGGGTACACCCACACCTAAGTAAGAAAGTTCCTGTGAGAGGGTACACCGCACCTAAGTAAGAAAGTTCCTGTGTGTGAGAGGGTACACCCACACCTAAGGAAGAACAGCCTCCAATTTCCTTTTTTACTCCTTTGCCTGATGAACGCGGCTGTGCTTTCTCTTTCATGGCATTGCACATACGCTGCGCGATACAGACTCCCATCTAAGTTGTTAGAACAGTATGAACAGGGAAGCAAGCAATATTTAAGCAGGTACACACACACACGCACACATTGTTTACATTTCATGGAATTACTGCTTAACATCCATTATAACATTGTGATTATGAAAACCTAAAAGTTGAGTAAATTTACCACAACATGAAGAAAATCCTGTAATTGCTTCATTTGTGAATGATCTAGGTGAGGGGGGAACAGCAGTGGTCATGAGTTTAATAATAGCCCTACAGTAGATGAGTATCATAAAAGTCTCTCACAACCACACCAACAGTAATGAATCCAAATTAAATTTCACATTTCCTCCTCAAACTTGCTTCTGCTCTAGCCCTGACCTTGATCTAGCCCACAATATTACCCACAAGCTCTTTCAGGTTAGAAACTGGGGGCAAATCCAACTGCTTCTCCCTTCTCTCTACTTTGATCCTTTATAATATTGCAAACCTGCACTTTGTCACCTGAATGTGTCTCAGGTCTGAAGCTCTGTCCTGACTGGCAAAGCCACCCAACCCTTGCTTTACCTTGCCCATGCCTCCTCATTCCTTGGAAATGGTCTTCCTAAAAGGAGTGTAAATCTAATCATCTCCTTTCCAGTATCTTCTTACAACAGACAAAAAAAAATTCTAAGTTTCTTAATTAGCTAGAGAGGCCCTGGTAAGTTAGGCTAAGATGGCAGCTGGCATTTAACTTTATGTTTATCATGTGACCTGCTGTATCCCAGACATTCCTAGGTGATTTCAACACTTCCCCTGGAATGGAAACTCCATCTTCTTTCCCTTTAGCCAGTCTAAGGTAGTTGTATCACCTCTTATGCTAAATGCAGCCAAATTAGGGCAACACTCCATTTTATTCAGTGTCCTGACTTAAAACAGACAGCCAAGCATCTTGCTAACTATGTAAACTCAGCGTTTATTATATGTTTTACATCTGTGTGTTCTTTTATTTTTGTTTTTTGATACAGGGTTTTTGGAATTAACCCAGACTGGCCTCAAACTCACAATCTAACTGCCTCTACCTCCTGAGGGCTAAGGTTGTGGGCATGCACCACCTCATCTGTCAATATGCCATTTTCAAGTCTTCACTAGATAGAATGTCCCGTAGAGAATAGAACCAGCCAGATGATTAAACGCTTAAACGAAGGGAGGAAGAGAAAGAATCGAGATAGGCATGCCTGAAAGAAGAAAGGGGAAAGAAAACAGAAGCTGCCCGGTGTGGGCTTGGGAAGTGCAGACAGGAAGATCAGGAGTTCAAGGTCATCCCTGGCTACATAGTGAGTTTGAGGGCAGCCTGAACTACGTGAGACTCTATCTCAAAAAAGCAAAGTAAGATTGCATTTCATAAGCAGCCAAGTAAGTGGAAGGAAAGCCAGCCTCAACCAACATCTTTCCCTGTTCCTACGCTGTTTTCACTGTGCTAGATGAAGAACAGAGCTGGCACAGCCATGGCAACCAGGAGAGCCAGGTGGTAGGAAGGCTTTGCTCTCTGCCTTTTCCCATCATGACGCCTTCTGGGCCTTGTGTTTGCTCACTCTCCAGCTCACCCTGCAGCACCATGCCCTCACCCTTCAAATCTTGCAGGATCACCCTGATCAGTCTGGCCTTTTGGCTTCTCTGTTGCACCACTATGTTTATTTGCATTGACTATAATGAGAACATTTGTGATTATTTTATGCACTAACTTCAGACTGAGCTTCAGAAAGCAGAGACCATTTCTGTCTTGTCTGCTGGGCACAGATGATGGTTCAACTTGGAATTCTTCAACTTTGTGCTGATGCCAAAGCTGTTAGATTTAGTCAAAAGTACACTCTAGTTTTGAATTTTGACTTCTTGCTGGGCTAACAATACATGGTTTGATATTCCCATGCTCTGCTGGGCATCACCAGTAAGCACAGCTGTCAGCCAATTTCAGGGTCCCAAGTGCACAGGACTCATTCTCTGCAATGTGCAGGATGCTGTGCTTAGGAATATTAGTGGGCTAGTAACATTAAGTGCATTTTTACTTGATACTTTCAACTTAAGCTGGGGTTATTGCATGTAACTCCATCGCAAACTGGGTTCATCTGCCCAGAGTCCTGCACAGAGAGGCCACACAATAAATATTTGTTGTATAAAATGATGATTGGTTAAGTCTGGTATTATAAATCTGTTAACATGTCTCTCCAACCAAGTAGAAGTTCACTGAAGTCCAGGACAATGCCTGAGTCTTTGCTGAATCGATGATTCATCTGTTGTTGGCTGCTTTGTCCTTCTGCAGCTTAACCTGTGTGCTGAAGAAAGTCTTAGCATATCATGTCCTTAATGCATCATTTTCTTATAGTGGAGTCAGACTGAAATAATACTTAGCATTTCCATGTAGTAGCCAGGTACAGCTTAATAAATGCACCTGCTTAGAGGTCACTGGACAGATAAGAAGCCTGAACTGGGAAGGAAAATGTTTTGTCTCATTTTAAATATTTTATTTATTATTTTTAATCTTATGCATACGAGTCTATTGCCTGCATGTATGTAAGTGCACCTATGTCATGCAATGCCCTCGGAGGTCAGAAGATGCTGTCATTGTCCTTGGAACTGGAGTTATAGATGTTTGTTAGCTGCCATGGGTGCTGGGAACTGAACCCAGGTTCTCTACAAGGGCAGCCAGTGCTCTTAACTGCTGAGCCATCTCTCCAGCCCCTTGTCTCATTTTAAAATAACCAAAGCCAAAATATTGAGATGCGTGCACCCACTGGACACCTGCTGCTTGCTGAAAGCTGGGAGTCATGGTGAACATCGCACCCTCAGCTGTTCACAGGCGAACATCACACCCTCAGCCATTCACAAACATCACAGTCTCAGCCATTCACAGGCAAACATCACACCCTCAGCTGTTCACAGGCGAACATCACACCCTCAGCCATTCACAAACATCACACACTCAGCCATTCACAGGCGAACATCACACCCTCAGCCATTCACAGGCGAACATCACACCCTCAGCCATTCACAAACATCACACCCTCAGCTGTTCACAAACATCACACCCTCAGCTGTTCACAAACATCACACCCTCAGCTATTCACAGGTGAACATCACACTCTCAACCATTCACAGGCAAACATCATGCTTTCAGCCGTTCACAGGCGAACATCACACTCTCAGCTGTTCACAGGTGAACATCACACCCTCAGCTGTCCACAGGTGAACATCACACCCTCAGTATCTTCTTACAACAGACCACACCCTCAGCCATTCACAAACATCACACCCTCAGCTGTTCACAGGTGAACATCACACTCTCAGCCATTCACAGATGAACATCACACCCTCAGCCATTTACAGGTGAACATTATACCCGCATTCACAAACATCACACCCTCAGCCATTCACAGGTAAACATCACACCCTCAGCCATTCACAGATGAACATCACAAGCTCAGCCATTCACAGGCGAACATCACACCCTCAGCCATTTACAGGCAAACATCATACCTGCAGTCATTCACAAACATCACACACTCAGCCATTCACAGGCAACCACACCCTCAGCCATTCACAGGCAAACATCACACCCTCAGCCATTCACAGATGAACATCACAAGCTCAGCCAGTCACAGGCGAACATCACAAGCTCAGTTGTTCACAGGTGACATCATACCCTCAGCCATTCACAGGTGAATATCACAAGTTCAGTTAGTCACAGGCAAACATCACACCCTCAGCCATTCACAGGTGAACATCACATGCTCAGCCATTCACAGTGGCTCCAAAACACTTTTACTTTTTGATCTTAGCAATCATCAAATCCAGCTTCATGAGGGATGTGCAGGCAAATGTTGAAGCCAAGTGCAACACTGAACTAGCAGGTCATATACTCTCTGATCTCAGTTGGCGCTCGAACATTCCTTGTGACTCATGACATCCATACCCAGGAGTACCTCAGAACACAGTTTGGGATCCAAAGATAAGGGCTTTTAAGTCCAGGTAACAAGAATTGCTGCCTTGGCTCTAATTTGTTCCTAGCCTTAGCAGTGAAGTTGTACCTGAGCTTTGGTTTCTTTACCTCTAAAAATACAGGTAAGATACCATTTTAGAGTTTTGTAGGGGTGAACTCTAATGATAGCAAGTATTGATATACAACTCCAAGCCCAGTTCTTGGTACAGAAGAAAGGCCAAAGTAAATGATAATTCTAGACCATTCCTCAATAGAATAAAACACCATACCTGTCCCATTTATCCTGCAGGTCTCTATCTGGACACCTGCTCCCCACATCTGTCATAGTAAAAAATGACCTAGACCTCTTCCTCATGAGGAGACGCCAGATCTTCCATCCAATAGTAGAAATCAGTCAAGTGCCCTCTATTTTTTTCCTAGACATTCAAAAGCTCAGAAATAAGCTTCTGCTCTTCTTGACGTCCACCTTAGGATCTCTTTCTCCATGTTTACTTTAAATGAGGGAAAGACAGTGGAATAAAGAAGGAAGTTTTATGGCTTTCTCCTCCACGTCTGTCTCAGCAGAAGGAGCTGTTTAGATGAGTGTATGGTGGGCCACTGCTGAAAGCCACCACCTCCCCGCTGAACGTGGTCTCCAACATCACCAATTTTTGAGCAGGGTCAGAAACTCATACCTGAGTTCAGCCGTAGGTTCCATGCAGATTCCTGGTGATAGTTCTGAAACACTGACACATCTAAGCAAAGTAGCCTGACTGTACGGAATGTGTAGGACACAGATACAACTGTGCTTGTGTAACTTCAGTTTGGTTTCTGTGTCTCTTTTTGTTGTTGTTGTTGAGACAGGGTCTCCCTGTAGCCCCAGCTGTCCTGGAACTCACTATGTGGACCAGGGTGGCCTTGAACTCACAATCCGCCTGCCTCTGCCTCCCGAGTGCTGGGATTAAAGGCGTGCGCCACCACACCCGGCTTCTGTGTCTCTTTTTTATTTTTGTAGGCCAAAATCCTCATACTTTATTATGTGCCATTAAAAACTCTGCTTTCTGAATTTTGTTCGCACAAATGAGGTACCATTAGCTTCAGATAATAGGGCAGAGATTGGCACTAATCCCTGTTACCTACCTCTGGGTCAGAGAAGTACAAATAACCTGACCAAGAAGGGACAGGCAGGCTTAGGATCAAAATGCGGCACCCTGTGACAGATCTCGACAGGCCAGCGGATCTCCCTCCTTCCACAGTGTTTGTTCTCCAACTGGCATCTTCTTATAAATTTCTCCCAAGTTGGACAACCGCTTTCAATCCTTACCACACCACAATGTTCTGTCATCATTTCTTATGTAGAGCTTTGAAATCCTATGAAAATACAGATTTCTCTCTTCAGTCCCAGACTTTTCATCAGCCCAGTTCCCTTTAGGATCCCTTCTCAAATGGAATCCTCTGTTTTAGGTCCCTGATTCTCTCTCACTGGAACCTAAGAGAGCCACATTCCAATGCTGTGTCCTTGTTAAGCGTCTCCATGTGCCTGGGCCTAAGCCAGATTCCATGTCTGAGGCAGTCACAGAACAGGAAGAGGATTGCACTAAATGGCTTTCCATCTTTGTCTCTTGAAAGATCCTTTCTAAAAATTGACAAATATTGGGCTGGAGAGATGGCTCAGAGGTTAAGCGCACTGGCTATTCTTGCAGAGGACCCAGGTTCAGTTTCTAGCACCCATATGGTGACTAACAACCATCTAGAACTCCAGTTCTGGAGGAACCGCACACCCTTTTCTGTCCTCTGCAGGCATTACATGACATGAGTGCACTTATATACATTCAGGCTATACACTCAGACACATAAAAATTTTAAATAAGATATTTTTTAATTGACAAATATCAGACAGATGTCAGTTCTCCACAGGCAAATACTCCCATACAAACCTACTCACCTCCCCCAACACAAAAGAACCCCAAAAGATATCAGTCAGGAGTTAAAGAAACAGACGTGTTTTCTGGAACACCCAAACCCCAAAGCTGGCCCTGTGAGTGTTTGGACTTATGTGGCATTTATAACAAGTTTCTGTCTGACCATTACACCCACCAAAGACTTACTGGGCACCTCTTTTCAAATTTCTGATATTTTGCCTAAATATATCCTTTCTCTGGTTTAACAAACTGTACCTGTGTGCATTTGATGCTCCTAGCAAGACATTGACATGAAAAAGAACTGAATGTTCTTCTTTGCTTAAATTAACATAAAGACTTCAAAAGATAAAGCTGACGAGCATAGAAGATGGTGAGAATTTAGAAGTTTGCCTTCTTTAATGCTTCCCCAATTCCTGGTAAACTGGGAATCATGATCTGAATCTAGAAATTAAAATACATGAAATTTTTATATGTTCATTTTCACAAAGTTGTATTCTTGTACCACTGTCATTCATGATATTCAGTACTCAATATATAATGCAGACTGAGCAGGCTACATACCATAAGAAGAGTAGGGACCTCGGGAAAAAGGCGAGGCAAACCCAGTAACTGAGGGCATAGCCACCTGGCACAGCCAGGATTGGAGGACAGGAGTCAGGGGCGCAGTATCGCTGGGTCACCAGTGGGATAATATGGGTGGGGCTGGAAGGAAGCTCCAGCTGTTCAGTGATGTTGTCCCCTGGAACACTCGGGATTCATCCGTAGAACTCTCACATCCAGCATATGCAGCTGTGAACCACACTGCTTATAGAGAGCTTAGCATAATTCAGTGCTATGTTAAAATGATTCCTGTTTCGTCTCAGCTCGACTGTGAATTCCCAAAAGACCACACTGTGTCTTTCTGGGAAACCTCCACAGTTCTTTGCACAGTGCCAGGCATATGAACAGCATTCAAAAATGCGGCTGATGAATAAATAGACTCACGTAAATTAGGAAAACAGTTCTCAACTCAGAGGTACATGTGGTTCTTTTCCAGTGCCCCATGGTGAATTAAACCCCAGGGCCACATCTTTGTATCTGAGCCAAATGAAGATATTGCCATCTTGGTTAACCATTGTTTAAATGTTTACTTTATCCTGTATTATTATATCTCTCAGGATTCTTTTGTTCATCCAGCTAATGAAATGAGGATTGGGGAACTTCACCCTTCATTAGCTGAGACCCCTCTGTACCCACCCAAACTTGTTCTGCTAGGGAAGGACAAAAAAGGTAACATCGTGAAGCCCATGTGGAAACTATGCGCGATGCATGTGCATGACAAACCACCAGTTATGAGTTATGATGTGCTGTAGTCTATAAATACTTCACAGATGTGTGCTTCTGACATTAATCCATATGGAATCTGATTTTCATGCTTCTGCTTGTAACCGTCAGTGTTCATAGCACTGTAACGTGTTTCCCCTTTAAATTTCAGAATCAACTGATGAGTCTGAAGTTGACAAAACTCACTGTCTGAATAACAGTGTTTCCTCAGGCACTTACTCAGACTACTCGCCCTCCCAGGCTTCCTCAGCATCCTCTAACACCCGGGTCAAAGTGGGGTCCCTGCAGACAACAGCTAAAGATGCCGTTCATAACTCTTTGTGGGGTAACAGGTGTGTTGAGAATTCCCACTTTTATGTTCCCAAAAGCTCATTTCCAGCAACTTTTGACAAAACAGAATCTGCTTAATTTGGGAATTGTGTTTGGCACATGAGTGGCACAGAAGAGGCAGGTAAGCAAGTGGGTCCCACCTGGAACTTCCAAAAATATCACTGCCATCCCCAGGCCCAGATGCAGGATGGCGGGAGGAGACAATGGGAAGGCATGCTAGGGACAAAAAGCCTGAAAGGAGACAATCGTCTGTGACCAGCACAAGCCTCTGTGTCTCTGGACATGTCACCATCCAAAGTGATGTAAGAAGGCTCAGTGACAGAGCTAAGGGTAGCAGTGGTACAGCTGTGTGCTTAGGGCCCTGGGTTTGATCCCCGGGACCACAAGAAAGCAAAATGATGTCATAAAGATGTGTGTAAACACTCAGGTTCTGTCCACACTATGGTTGTTAAGACTTAGATAAAGGCATTTAATCTTTTCCTCATGCCTCTGACTTACATAACTTCCATTCTATGATGGAGACAAAAACAAAAATCAAAAAGACAGAGTCTGAGAGATTCAGAGAGAATCAGGGAGAACCAGGGAGAGAGAGTGGAACAGACCCAGAGAGAACCAGGGAGAGCCAGAGAGAGTGGGACAGACCCAGAGAGAACCAGGGAGAGCCAGAGAGAGTGGGACAGACCCAGAAAGAACCAGAGAGATCCAGGGAAAGTCTGAGAGAACCAAGGGGAACCAGGGAGAGTCAGATGGCCAAGGAGAGCAGCTGTTACTCAGCTGCATAGTGCTTACCCCGTTCAACACATTCTCTTTTATAATGTGCTATGGTATTTTTACTAAAAATAGTAAATAAAAATTGTCAAGTGATCTACTCAGTTCACTTGTGTTTACTGACAACATTGCCCTATTTGGCGCTGTTTTCATTTGTAATTCATGTAACCTCTATCACATCTATTTCAGCAATGTTATGATAAAAGTGTAAGTTGTTTAAGTTCATAGAGTCATTATTGTTATGTGAACAGAGATTAGGTATTTCTGGAAGATGTCTTCTAAGCATTCTTTGTTTCAAGTCACAGAAGCACAGTCTTTCACTCACTAGTAATAAATATATATATATATGTGTTAAATTGTATGTGTGTGATTCAGCATCATTAGTGTGCAAATGGATTAGAACAGTCTCAAGAAAGCAAGTACGTGCTAGCACATAAACGTGCCCCCATGGGCCTGCAGCACACTGCAGTTTTAAGTGTAGACAAGGATTCCTGAATACTCTGTAGACCACTGGACACTGAGTCTTCAAGACATGACTGCATGGGCTCATGAGAGGGAAGAAAAGAGTTCAAGGGAGGAAAGAATCACAGAATGTGTGCCACGTGAAGAAAAAAGGAAGATTTGAGGAGAGAAAGGGGACTAGCCAGAGTGGGGCAAGAGTGGGCAGAGGGGAAAATTAGAACAAAGTTTAATGGCATGTAAGTCTGAAAATACCATAATGAACCTATGGATTTTTATGCTAACTTTGAAAATTAATAAAAGAACTTAAAAATCAAAAATGAAGACCTAGTTTTACTTGATTCATTAGACATATCAAGCATTTTTAAGTAAAGTACTCTGAACCAATGGCTTGGACATGTCCTGAGTCAGACTCTTTAGGGAAAAGTACTAGGGATTCTCCTTATCAGCCAGGCTCAGGACCATGGCTGGAGACTTACAAACGTCACCCATCCATTCACGCAGCCAATGTGTGTTTGAGCCCAAAGAGAAAACAGTCTCATGCTTGTGCTTGCATTCTAGCGAAGGACATGAGGTAGTCTACAGAGGATAGATACATGGGCTTCCTGGCGAGCTAGAAGCCCATTGAGGAAGACAAGAGTCAGAGCAGGTAGAGAAGTGGACGTTTGGATGGGGGACGTGAAACAACGCTACTTTAATCTAGGTTGAGTGGGGACAGCGGCATTCTCTATTGGTTGTTCTTCCTCCTGCAAAGATCTTCCCTCACGGTCCTATGTCTCTTCCTTGTGTTCACAGGATGGCTCCATCTTTCCCACAGCCTCTTGATGCGAAGCCATTACTCAGCCAGAGGGAAGCTGTCCCTCCAGGGAACCTCCCCCAGCGTCCGGAGAGGCTGCCTGTGAGCGATGCTTTCCCTGACAACTGGACAGATGGCTCCCATTACGATAACACAGGCTTCGTCTCAGAGGAGACCGCCGCGGAGAACGCCGGCAACAATCCTCTCCTAAGCGCCAAGGCCAGAAGCGTCCCGGCTCACGGGCGCAGGCCTCTGATCAGGCAGGACAGGATTGTTGGTGTTCCCCTGGAGCTGGAGCAGTCCACGCACAGACACACACCGGAAACAGAAGTGCCTCCTTCCAACCCCTGGCAGAACTGGACCAGGACCCCCAGCCCATTTGAAGACAGGACGGCTTTTCCTTCCAAACTAGAGACAACCCCGACCAGCAGCCCCTTGCCTGAGAGGAAGGACCACATGAAGGAGCCTGCGGACACACCGGGTCCCTTCTCTCCAGGGGTGCCGTGGGAGTACCACGACCCCACGCCCAGCAGGAGTCTCAGTAACGTCTTTTCCCAAATCCACTGCCGCCCGGACTCGTCTAAAGGGGTCATTGCGATGAGCAAAAGCACGGAGAGGCTCTCCCCACTCATGAAAGACATAAAGTCCAACAAGTTCAAAAAGTCTCAGAGCATCGACGAGATCGACATCGGTACCTACAAGGTCTATAACATTCCCCTGGAGAACTACGCGTCGGGGAGCGACCACCTGGGGAGCCACGAGCGGCCGGACAGGCTGTCGGGGCCGGAGCACGGCGTGTCTAGCATGTCTCGGAGCCAGTCGGTGCCCATGCTGGACGACGAGATGCTCGTGTACGGCAGCAGCAAAGGGCCCCCTCAGCCCAGGGCGTCCGTGACGAAGAAGGTCTATCAGTTCGACCAGAGCTTCAACCCCCAGGGCGCGGTGGAGCTCAAAGCCGAGAAGATGATGGCGCCGCCCTTCGCGCTCGGCTCTGAGTACGTGCAGCCGGCCGGCAAGGGCGGCGCCAAGGACCTGGTCAGCCCCAGGGCCTACCGCGGGTTCCCGCTGGAGCAGGTGTTCTCCTTCTCGTCCGCGGCCGAGGACGCCTTGCCGAGCGCGCCGTTCGCCGGCCAGGGGCCCCGGGCGGGCTTCCTGCGGAGGGCCGACTCCCTGGCCGGCTCCGCCGAGATGGCCGCCTTCCGCAGGGCCGCCGAGCCCCACGAGCCGGCCCCCGGGGACAGGTACGGCCGCGCGGCCTACCGGGGGGCGCTGGACGGCCAGGGCGGCCTTCCGGGCGCCGACGCCCAGTTCCTGCGGAGGAACGGCCGCTACGACGACGAGCCTCCGTCCTACCAAGACGTGAAAGCGCAGGCGGGAGCTTTTCCCGCCAAGAGCCTCACGCAGCGGCGGCCGCTGTCCGCGCGGAGCTACAGCACGGAGAGCTACGGCGCCTCCCAAACCAGGCCGGTTTCAGCCAGGCCGACCATGGCGGCCCTCCTGGAAAAAATCCCGTCTGACTATACCTTGGGTAACTATGGCGACAAGCCGTCCGATAACGGTGATGTAAAGACGAGGCCCACCCCTGTGAAGGGAGAGGAGAGCTGTGGTAAAATGCCGGCAGACTGGAGACAGCAGCTGCTTAGACACATAGAAGCTAGAAGGTTAGACAGGGTATGTCTGGTGTTTCTCTGTACCGCTTCCCTCCAGCCCCGGGCGCCCTTCCCGGCGTCTGAGCTCGTCCGGCCCGCGGTGCCCGCTCGGTTGGCGGGGAGGTGGTCGGCGCAGTTCGCCGCGGGGGTGCCTCACGCTTTCCCGACGGTGCCCCAAAGCCAGCCCAACTCTGGTAGGAGGACCGGGCCGGGTCACCGCGACGGCGTTGCCCTGGCTTTCTGGCCGTGAAGGCAACACAGCAAGGCACTCCAGGGCCCCAAAACCGCCCTCTAGTGACCTGAGAAGCGTTATTTTGACGCAGTCTAGAAGTGAGCGTTTCACCCTTCTCCAAAGACTCACTTTAAACTCCAGCTTAATTTGTTTACAAAATTTGCATATAACCACAGCTCTGTGACTACCAAAGTTAGTGCTTCTAATGAGCAATAACCTTCCCAGCAAGAGACAGAAAAATAGCTTAAATGCCTTCCTACACACTATTTGATTTGATTTAAAAAAAAAAAAAAAAGTCTTGCCATTTAGAATGCTGGCTTTTACGTAGATGGAAATGTCAAAATTCAAGTCAGGCTACAAACAACAAAAACAGATGATGTCTTCACAAAGACTACAAAAGTACAAATTAGTGTATGAATTAGTGTGCATCTTGTAGCCAAAGAAGGAAATTAATCCTAATTCAGTTTCTGAAATGAGAAGTGGCACCATTTGGAGTGGGCAGTGATTAGAGAATTTAAAAAAGCACAAAGCATGACAAACTTCTTATTGCCTGCTTGAATCTCTCTAAGAGAAACCAGGCATCTCATTTTCTGTCACTCATCTGAGCCTTCTGGCTCGGCTGCAGGGGGCTGTGAAGATTGGTCTTTTCTTCTCACTTTCTAGGTTAAAATGTTCTGGGAAATAAGCTATCCGGATGTTTCACTCAATTGTTTTACTGTTTTATTTGGTGTCCTCCTTAAAGAACAGGTCACTGTATCTATTATGTATTAATTTAATATTGAATTTGTGTTTTCAGGTTTATCCTTTTAGAATAATGATTTGTAGGTCGTGTCTACATGACAAGAGAACGGTTTTCCTAGAAAAGAGTGAACTAATAAGTGTGGATGTGGGTGCTGCTTTCTCAGTGTGGAAATTGGTTCTGCCTTGCAAATATTTCATCAAAATGTCTGTTTCAAATAGGTGTGCTCCGTCCCACTGAAGGGAGCCTCATCAAAGCCTCATGACTGGCTGTAGTAGGAGACACCTGGTCGTTGGCCCCATGCCTTCCCTCAAGTCACACCCTCCATGTAGGCAGATAACTCGGAGGGCGAAAATATTTGGGGCCAAATAATACAATACGGTTTGGAAACTCTGGCCTCGTGTAGACACGACCATACGTAACAGGGTAAGGTGAACTAGCCAAGAAAGGTTCTGCGAAAGTATCTGGAGCATGCGGACGATAATTAGTAATTTGAGGCATCAGAAGAGTGGGTGGAAACTGAAAATGCAGATAAAGGATGTGAAGTATTTGATGCCATTTGTTGACTGGTGTCCCAGATAAATGGGTCTCTTCCTGTGAACCAGGCTACTGGAAAGGTGCCATCTGTAGGTGGAGAGGGTAGAGGCCTAGGGAGGAGTTTGGTTACCAAGTAGAAAGCCATGCCTGTCCCCGAGGGCTAAAGTGAGTTTGTGTGTATTTTCCATTGCTGCGATGACACCTCCCCCTTCAGTTAAGCTCTGTTTCTTTAAAATTCCTAGGTTCTACCATTAACTTTTCAGAGCAATTTTAACGTCTATTCAATCGTTACTCATTTAATTCCAAGAAACTGAGTTGGCTTCCACTTTCAATTCAAGTAGCATTCCTTTCCCAGCTCAGTTGAGTTGCTGAGCAATAATTCAGGTCACATCTCCCTAAGAACCTCCCAGCTGCTCACCCAGATGAATTCAGGGTGCCAGAGCACAGATTATGATGTCAAACTAGTTTTGACAGAACTGTGCTATTAACATTCCACCTGTGGTCCAACCACACGGAGGGGAGGGTTACCTCTTCCCCACTGAAACTTGGTTGAGCCATTTCAACCTTGAAAACCAAAAAGCAATGCCAGAAACTTAGAGATCTCCATGATTTTACATTAAAAAAGCAACTGCCTAGAGGTCTGGTCATGGGAGAGACCAAAGACAAAAGATGTCAGTGTTGGCCTCGCAGTCAGGAAAGGGTGCTGCTTTCTACCCTTTTTTAACCACGGGTACTTCCGTGACAGAGCCCCACTGTGACCAGGACTTTAAAGCAGGAACCCGTGTGTCTGAGATCACTGCTTTTCTATGGAAGTTCCAAGGAGCCGACAAAGGGCCAGACTGAAAGGCTCAGAGTCTTCTCTTCTGGAACAGTGACAGTGACGTGGCCCCGAGTCTGCTAACAAATACAGTGACAGACAGGCACATCAGCAGAAGTGCAGGGTCTGTGCTCGGCTCATGAAATGCTGGTGGTAAAATTCACTGCTCTGCCAACAGTGCTCAGAATTATCAGTGTCCTGCCAGCAACCCTCACTGATACTCAGTTAAGAAAAAGTCCACTGAGTTAAGTAGGAAAGTAGTAAAAGAAGCAAGTGCTGTTGGCGGCGTTTCCACTGTACATTGAAAGTTTGAGGACAGGCCATCTAACAATTTTTCAGTGAGGGCCTGTAGAAAAAAAAAGTATCAGTCACTAGTACCTGGTGGTGCAAAGTAGCCACAATATAAATATTGGCAGAGTGCTGTGCAGATATTATTCATACTAAATAAATAGTGTTAACCAGTCTCAAATTATAGGTACTTTGGTGTCATGGATTTCTCTGGTTTAAAGTATAATTTTTTGCAAACTTAGAATATTCAGACTCATGCAATTTATCTGATTGGTCCAACTGAACTAATTAGTACACTCAGTCAATCCAGCGGTCATGTTGAATGATTTGGGGGCCGGCTGTTTTGCTGAGTTGCTATAATTATACCTGTAGACTCAGTGATAAGAGAAATTTTGACCTTAATTTTGGCACCCATTAGCTTAGACAGAATTAGAAGTCCATCGTTGGCTTTTATATGTGATGACCTGAGTCTATGAGACTGTAGCAGACAAAATACGATTCAAATCTCAGGGTTTAAATTTTCAGAAGAAATAAACTGCCACAGATGGCCAATAGTTGTCCAGAGCCAGAACCGTCAGCATGTAAGGGATGGAGCTTTTGTCTTGAGTGAGAGCAGGTGGAAAGCAGAATGTCCCTTTGCTTTTGTCTTTCTGTAGTTCTGGATGGTTCTCACTATGTGCATAACTAACACTGTGACTGTATGCTTTTGTCTGATCAAGTGCATGTTTATACTGAGAGTTATTGTTTGCCCGCTTACAGTTCAATGTTATGAATTTAGATTGTTCATGTAATGATCCGTTTGTGGAGCACGTGTTTACATCCTGTCACATGGTTATCTCCTCTACTCAGAACGCTGCTTACAAACACAACACAGTTAACCTTGGCATGCTGCCCTATGGAGGTATTTCAGCAATGCATGCAGGCAGAAGCATGACTTTAAACTTGCAGACTAAGTCTAAATTTGACCTTCAAGAACTACCTCTTCAGAAAGTAAGTATGGACTGCCCTACATGTGTCAGCATACCAAAGCCACTTAATGTTGTTCGTTCACCTGATGTATTTAGGCTGTACATTGAGCCCTGCTTGTTGCAGACTTCCGTAGTCCAGAAGCACCTGGGGCAAATTGGAGCATCTGAATTCTTAGCTGCTCCGTGTTTATTTGTAGCCGGACTGATTATCAGATTCCTACTTTTTGGATGGAGCAGGTTCATGGTGCTTCAAGGATCATTTCTCTTCTTAATTTCTCTGTTCTGTTTTGGTTTTCTTTCTTTTGTGTTGACATATTTATTGTTTGCTTTCCCAAATAGCCCTGCCATATATTGGCAATACATTCTGAGAACAGAGCTGGAAATTATTAATGAATTCAGTTGGTTCCTTTGAAAAAGTCTTGACATTCTAGATTAGAGTAGTAACTAACCGCCTGGCTTCCAGTGCTTTTCCAGTTCGCTTTCTTTATGGGCAATGATAACAGAATGAAGGATTGAGAAGCTTACAGTTTTGCTAATTGTTACTCCTCCCTGGTTATTCGAAACATCACAAGTTCATATATATTTAAACAAGAACGCAGGCAAACTAGCATGGAAACAATACTATATATTAATGAGAGGAAACATTTCCATTGTCAAGGAAACGTTTCTGTTTAGTTTATTCAGTCACCATGGGAATGCCCATTTCACCTGTTTAAAGTGCTTAATGCTTTTTCTGTTACATCTCAGTGGAGACTAATGAGTCATTTTCATGCAGTATCATTATGACTATATGTTAATGTAGTCATTAACGTAGTAAGTTTTTGTGGGAAAAAGCAGTAAAAACTCAGGAAACAGAATGACAGCAGTCTCTAATCATTTCTTCTTTCTAAAGAAAATTAAGGAACCCATGGAACAAACTTGTAGACCAGCACAAGGAAACAGCACAAATTCCTGCTTCGTTGTTTAATTAGCATCTGGTAACATTCCCTAACTCTGGATAGTTTAATTCCTACTGTGGGCAGCATAACAAAGTTAGAGACTTTGTTCCACAACTTTTTCTTCTCTTAAAAACACAAAACAAGGGACTGGAGAGATGGCCCAGCGGTTAAGAGCACTGGCTGCTCTTGAAGAGGACCCAGGTTCAAGTCCAAGTACCCACATGGAGGCTAACAACTGTCTGTAATTCCAGTTCCAGGGGATCTGATACCCTCTTGCACAAGGGTGCACTTATATACATGCAGGCAATACACTCATACACAAAAAATAAAAATAATAAAATATATTTTTAAAGCACACGAAACATAGCAAAATACCCTCCGCACAGTGGCAAGTTTTGAATATTCTTGTACTTGTTGTGTTCCCCAGGGCACGACCAGTGGTATGCTGGTAGCTTTCTTTTCGGGCAGACAATTCTAACTGTAGTATGTGCTGATGCCACCGA